GGCTCTGACAAGCTGTACTGGGCGGTGCTTTTAGAATACGTACAAACAATTGTCAGGGTAAGACGATGACTTTTCAGCATATTCCTGAATGCATCTTTGGTAATAAACTTCAATCAAAGGAAGGGTTCCAACAGCATAATGTGTTTTCTGTAGACAGGATATGCTCCTTTGGAGTTTTATGTAGAAGGTTTCAGGAGTCGCACACTGAAGTCTCTAGTGCCAAAGCTTGGTAAGTGTCCAAATTTACCACCTTGTTTTTTTTAAGTGTGTCCCAGGATATCAAAGTGCGTGCATCTGATTCTTTTGGACTTTTTCTGTCTTGCTTTAATTTCATTGTGTAACTAGGCTAAATTATACTTTGCTGTAACTGACTGGTTCAAAAATATGACTTGACTCTGCCTTGTGTAGTAAATGATGGACGAGACTTGCTTATCTTTTAGTGCTGCCATTTATTAATTGGGTAAGTACTAAGTATGTACTGGCCAGGCAGGTTGACTCATTGCAGGTGAGTTAAACACAGTGCACTCAGGCTCGTCCCTCATAATCTGGCAATGTTTTAATGCTGAAAACTAATATAACAAGTTCATTAATATAAATATTGTGTACCTGGATAAGAACAGAATATGTACTGGTCATATTCTGGTTATGTATTTGTAGTGTGCTGTGTTTGAGCTGCATGCAAAGGTAATAGCATATTATGGTAGCATAGTATCTTGCTAGCTAAGCTAGCCAATGTACAGTACTATTATGTGACTGTTTTATCACCACACATTGGCAACAATTCACCTGAACTCTTCTTATTAACAGTCAGACAGTTTGCAGTGGCCATATGCTTATCATCAGAAGGCATAGCTTACATTTTCACTGCTATATAGATGACACACAACTTTATCTATCCATGAAGACAGATAACACACACCAATTAGTTAAACTGCAGAAATGCCTTAAAGACATAAAACCCTGGATGGCCTCTAATTTTCTGCTTCTAAATTCAAATAAAACTGAGGTTATTGTACTCGGGCCCGAAAACCTTAGAAATATGGTATCTAACCAGATTCTTACTCTGGATGGCATTACCTTGGCCTCCAGTAACACTGTGAGAAACCTTGGAGTCATTTTGACCAGGATATATTCTTCAATGCACATATTAAACAAATATGTAGGACTGCTTTCTTTCATTTGCGCAGTATCTCTAAAATGAGAAATATCCTGTCTCAGAGTGATGCTGAAAAACTAGTTTGTGCATTTATGACTTCAAGGCTGGGCTAGTGTAATTCATTATTATCAGGATGTCTCAAAAACTCCCTAAAAAGCCTTCAGTTAATCCAAAATGCTGCAGCAAGAGTACCACAGGGACTAGAAAGAGAGAGCATATTTCTCCTGTATTGGCTTCCCTTCGTTGGCTCCCTGTTAAATCCAGAACTGAATTTAAAATCATGCTCCTCAGATACAACGTCTTAAATAATCAGTCCCCATCTTATTTTAATGACCTTATAGTACCATATCACCTTATTAGAGCACTTCGCTCTCACACTGCAGGCTTACTTGTTGTTCCTAGAGTATTTAAAAGTAGAATGAGAGGCAGAGCCTTCAGTTTTCAGGCCCCTCTTCTATGGAAGCAGCTTCCAGTTTCGATTTGGGAGGCAGACACTGTCTTCACTTTTAAGATTAGGCTTAAAACTTTCCTTTTTGCTAAAGCATATAGCTAGGCTGGATCAGGTGACCCTGAATCCTCCCTTAGTTATGCTGCAATTGGCATAGGCTGCTGCTTCCATGATGCATTGAGTATTTCTTCTCCAGTCACCTTTCTCACTCAACATATGTTAATAGACCTCTCTTGAATCACACTTGTTATTATCCCTGGCTCTCTTCCACAGCATGTCTTTTATTTTATCTTCCTTCTCTTACCCCAACCAGTCGTGGCAGATGGCCACCCCTCCCTGAGTCTGGTTCTGCCGGAGGTTTCTTCCTGTTAAAAGGGAGTTTTTCCTTCCCATTGTCGCCAAAGTGCTTGCTTACAGGGGGTCATATGATTGTTGCGTTTTTCTCTGTATGTATTATTATAGGGCCTACCTAACAATATAAAGTGCTTTGGGGTGACTGATGTTGTGATTTGGCGCTGTATAAATATAACTAAATTGAATTGAATTGGCAGCACGGTGGCACGGTGGTTAGCACTGTCCTGAGTTCAATTCCACCATCAGGCCGGGGTCTTTCTGTGTGGAGTTTGCATGTTCTCCCCGTGTTTGCGTGGGTTCTCTCCGGGTACTCCGGCTTCCTCCCACCGTCCAAAGACATGCAGCTTGTGGGGATAGGTTAATTGGATAATTCAAATTGCCACTAGGTGTGAATGTGCGAGTGAATGTGAGTGTGAATGGTTGTCTGTCCCTATGTGTTAGCCCTGCGACAGACTTTCGCCCTATGACAGCTGGGATAGGCTCCAGCGCCCCCCGCGACCCTGAAAAGGATAAGCGGAAGCGAATGGATGGATGGATGAATTGAATTGAATATCCTCCATAGTGGCTGCACAAATGCCAAAATCTAATGATCATGCGCAGTGCTGTGATATACAACCCACCTCAGGCTTGTCCCTCGTAATCTGGCAATGTTGTAACGCTGCCAGTGGTATTAATCCACTGCCTATGAGAAAAGGGCACCATTGAGTCAGTAAACATCACAATACACAAATAGATCGTGGTTAACATGGCAAGTGGAATCACATACAACATAAACACTGTTACAATTTCATATGAATGTAATGGACTTTCTCTGTTCTGCTTTTCTGAAAGCTCTTCTCCACGACCCTAATTACAGAGATCTTTATCTGGTTAATAATTTATGTTTAGGTCATATTGTCATGTTTTTCTATTATTTTAGTTCTCTTAAATTGAAGGGTTGTTCTAGGTTTAGGATATTTTAAGAGTTAAAAGTCAAACAAGTTTACTGGTCATTTTATGTATAATTTTAATATTTATTGTTCACCTTTTTTCCGTAGGTATGATGGACATGGTGCTGGAGCCATACTTTAAAGGTGAGGTGTTTGATATTACCCTGGTGCCCATCAGCATCAGCTATGACAGAGTGCTGGAGGAGTCATTGCTTGCACTTGAGTTGTTGGGTGTCCCCAGACCAAAAGAAAGCATCACCGTAAGTTTCAGCCTCATTTATGACTTGATAAAAATTCCCATATAATCTTTGTTTCTAAAAGATATGAAACTACATGCCTCTTGCCCTCACTCTTTCCCTGCAGGGACTCTTTAAAGCTAGCGGAGTCCTGCAGGAAGATTATGGCTGCATGCATGTGAACTTTGGCCGCCCCCTGTCTGCCCGACAGCTGTGTGAAGGAAAGATAAATTGGAGTGAGTACAACCTCATACCAAGGTACAGATTTCCCTTTTTTTCTCTTTTTTTGCCAATATCACACATGGCTGTAGGTACAAATATGAATATTGAGTATCTACTAACCAAAGTCTAAATAGAAAAAGTCTATAGAGTCTTAAGTACTAAATAACTTAAATAACTGTAATTTATCATCGATATATTCTTTAATTGTAATCTCCATTAGTTGTATACAGGTAATTCAACTGAAGAATATATAAACCTTTACATTTTAAAATTGTAATTTTATAAAGGTTTTACTTACAGTGAGTAATAAAAAACTAAACCAAAATGACTTGGTAAAATGCACCAAATTAACAAAAACATTAACAAGTTAATAATAATATAACTTAAATTAATATTTGTGTCATTGTAAACCTTCAAAACTTCAAGACACAGCCTGTATATAACTTTAGAATCTGTCTCGTTTTCTATTCAGAAATCTTCCCCAGAGGCCAACTGCAGAGACCCAGGACTGTGTGAACTGGCTGGCCCATTTGATTGTACGAACCCAGGAGGAGGGCTCTTTGATCAGCCCTTGGTCTCTGATGGCCTGCCTGTTGCTCCAGACTCCATTCACAACTTTAACGGAAGAGGGTCTGCAGTGGCATCAGCTCACAGAAAAAACCCTCTGGCTCAGGAAGCTGGTGCTGGATTTCGGGGCCCGTCTGAACTGGCCTGGTGGGTGGGCCAGCTAGATTTCAAAGATATCAATTTATTTGAATTATGCTGTGTAGAAAGGCCACAGCATCAAGCTTAGGGTTAAGATCAATATAGGCTTTGCTTATAATGGGCCTTTAATGAAGCTTGCTTTCCCTTCAGTAACCAGTAGGTGGCCTTAGGATACTGCAATGCTAGACAACCAGACAGTTAATGTAGAAAGGTTAGTAGTTTCCCTGCTGGTGCATGTGACAGCGTCTCACCTCAGGGCATCAACGGCTCTTTTTGACCTGGTCCTGTGTGGATCATAAAGATTAGGTGAATGCAAGTTGGCACAAGTGTCCAGAATCACTTAGGAGATGTTCAGTGGATTAATACACTTTAAGTAACTTATCCTAAGAGAATGCCACTGAACTGTCTCACTTCACAGGTGTCCTGTGTGTGAACATTGACACATGCAGGCACGTGTGCACACTTACACACGCACACACACTCGCACACATGACTTTGTGAAGGTCTTATGACCCTCAAACTTATGTGAAGGTTGCATTTTGCAGCACACATCCCAGACTCAGAAGTGATGTCATCCACCGTGGCTCTTCATCACTCCATTGTCCATCATAAAGAGGACCGTATCTACCTGGTTCAGGATGAAGACCCTGCGAGGCAAGATCCACTGAGCCCAGAGGAAGGTGTGATGAGGATGGCGGTAGTGGTGCTGATGCTGGTTTCCTACAGGAATCAGGCATTGCATGTCTTTGTGCGTCCAGGAATACTTGCTACAGCCATCCACATCACAAAAAACACACGGAAGGGTAAGAGTTAGGTGGGGTTACAGATTCTCAGTCTCATGAATGGGCATATCTTGTTTAGCTGTGACCCATTTTTCTGTTCACAGATGAGCTCTTCAGCTTTTTCTGCTTCCTGCGGGACGTCTTCTCCAATGAATTTATCTTTATCCCTGGCAGGGCAGTGCAGGTAACAACCATGTTTGTTAGGATCAGCATTATTTTGTGCATGAATTGAGTCAAAGGCCAAGGTCACTGTAGCCTCTCATTTATCCCATTCTTGGGAAAACCTAAGAAATTTTGTGCTTATGGTCCTTACGTTTTTTGCTACTGTCATATTCATACACACTTGTATGGTTAACCATGAGACAGATTATTATCGTGGGTATATATTTATTGTTACTCATATTGCATATCTGTCTCTCCATCATTTAGGACTTTGAGGAGGCATGTTCACTCCTGCAGAAATGTGGAGCAGTCCACATCAGTCAGCAGGAAGTGACCGTGTTGGAAACGGGGCTGGAAGTTTTATCCTTTCTGCAGAAGCTGCTGCAACCCTTCTTAGACTCATATCAGGTCCTTTTAACTTGAGTATCTCTCTCTGTGACTAAGTGTATTTAGTGAGGAGTGACTGTTGTGAACAACATATTATGCACACCGTTTTTTCTGAGCAGAACTGAATCCAGAATTATCCTCCTACAATTTTAATTTGGAACTTTATTTGATTACACATACCACTTTTGTCATATAGTTTTATTAGCTTGACATGCTGCCACGTACACTAATTGCAACTGTTTTCAACCGCACATTTCTAATTTGTTTAAAGAATGAACTTAATTTATAGAGGAGTCTAATTCTACTTTAAGCAGCAATCACATAATCTTTTTTCATCATTAGAGATTTCAAAGAATAGAAATAACAAGTCCTAGATAGAGTGACAGAAGCCCTGAGGTGAAGATAAAGCCCTTCAGATAACAATCTTGCTTTCCAAATCACAAGCTGTATATGAAACAGAAAGGAATGAAATCTAAGCAAAAAAAAACAAAAGTCATAATCTTTGGAAAGAAAAGAGCACACGTGCATTTGCTTCTTCTCAAATTCAGTAACTCTTTCACTTTTAATCCTGAAAGTTGTGGATCTTTTGAATGGTTTCCTCCTGCTGAACCAGAGCATCCAGCATAAACAACTACTTTGGTCCAAATATGTCTGCCGACACCACAGCTATGGCTATGAACGTCCCTGGAGGGTTCAGGATCCCAACGAAGAGGAAAACAGCGGTGACCAAAGCCATTTAATTAGTTTGATAATAAAGCAGGTTGCTGACAACTCTGTTGTTCCATTTTGCAAAATCTGAGCCAGGAAAGAAGTAGCTCCACGGTTGGAGCGGTGTCAGCTCCACTCTAGCCATCATTCCTGCACCGTTTAAATATAGGGGCAGCATGGTGGTGTGGTGATTAGCACTGTTGCCTTACAGCAAGAAGGTCCTGAGTTCGCTTCTACCCATGTTTGTGTGGGTTCTCTCCGCTTCCTCCCACAGTCCAAAGACATACAGTTAGTGGGGTTAGGGTAATTGTAAATTGCACATAGGTGCGAATGTTTGTCTGCCTCTATGTGTTAGCCCTGCAACAGACTGGCGATCTGTCCAGGGTGTACCCTGCCTATAGTACCTGGGATAGGCTCCAGCCCCCTGTGACCCTGACAAGAATAAGTGAAAGCAGACAGATTTACTGATTTTATTTTTAAATATATGAACTGATTTTTTTATACTTTGAATGTACAGTATTTTCGTCCATGTCTGTCTAAAGTCTAGAAACCATGGACACCAAATGTTGTACTTTCTCCCTTGAGTTGCTCTGCCAGGCGTTTACTACAGCTTCCTTCAGCTGCTGCTTGTTTATGAGGCTTTCAGTTTCTGAGTTGAGGTCAGATGAGAGATTTTTACCGACCATTTCTTTGTTGATAAAACCCTTAGATTGCTTGTGCCATCTCTTAGATGTTTTCTGCCAAAGTCTAATCTGGCCTTCCTCTTTCATGTGTAATCAGTGGTCTACACCTGTATTTCCAGAGGGTTTACATTCTTGAAGGCTTTCTGGATTCAACACTGACCATGATAAAACCTATCTTCCTGAGAGTGTTCTTGACTTGGTTAGATCCGTCACAATCTAGTTTAAGTTGTCTTCTGTGATCTTTCAGATGTTTTGATTGTGGATTTTATAGCTGGTGCAACCTTTCTGTTCACTAGTGATTTGACCACTCCTGAAGTTTTTTTTGCTATCTCTCTGATGGGTTTATGTGGGTTTTTCAGCCTAATGATGGTTCCCTCACTTGAGGAGAAAACCACAAAAAGTGTCAATGTCCAACAAATTATGGACCTTTTAGTGTAATCTAAGAAAGGTCATTAAACATGAATCACTTTAAAAAAAATTTTTATCACATAATATTTATGACTAACAATCATGGCATTGTTTCTAACAACATGAAAGGACATGCTGTACTCTCATCTTTTAAACTTATAAAATTAAAATATTTTGCCTAAGCCATTTTATGACCATAAAACAAAACTGTATTAAAAACTTGATTTATAGAATTTGAAAACTTTTTGTCTTTAGTAAGACAAATACAGTTTTGTCCACTTCATGGTTTGCCTGCATACAGCACAAATATATTAAGATCATCTTTAGAGAGGGGGTGCAGTTCATATCACAGAATCTGAAGAGATACTAAAGATGAGTCCTACTTATGTGCTTTAAAATTCACTGGAATGTTTTTTTTTTATTGTCCAGCTGATGTTCAGGTACTTGTGTGAAAAGGAAGATCACGTGTTTACTGAGGAACAGTTCCTACCTGATGTCCGAAACCTGGCTACAAAACTCATCCTCTCAGGTACAACTGAGTGTGTGAAATGACCTCTGACCACTAGAGACCTCTCCCACCTGGTAACTAGGGATCAAGAACCGGTTATTGTAGAGAACTGGTTCCCATTAGCCCAAATCCTTGGAATCGTTAGTCAGCCTGCTTATCAGTCCCTTTTTTTGATTCTTGCACTCTCGTTACAATCAGCTGATTTTAATTTGTGTGTCAAATTGGAAAAATAGTGGCACAGTCTCCAGCGTGGATATGGACATCACTTTTATTTTTATTGCAAAAAAGAATGAGAGCTTGATGGTAAAGTGGAGACTGATCCAGAACAGAAACATCTGCATTATACTGTTAATACAACTTAGGCTCTTTGCAAGCACCTGCACAGACAGCATGCTAATGCTAAGCTAGCCAAGAACCAAGAGTTGCGTTAAAGCTGAGCTGACCCCAGCCCAGCACCATGATAAAGTGAGCCTTCATTTGCGGTGAAGCCGCTGCTTAACTTCAACAGGTAACAAACTGATGAGCAGTCAGGCTGCTACCTCCGTTTCTACCTGTTCATGTTTCTAGAGTAGAGTCACTGTGACGATCACTTTAAAATGTCTTTGTGCTGGTTTTTTATCTTTGATTTGTGTTGTCAGCTTTGTGTTCATAGCTAAATACTTAGAGAAAGATCACTTTTGTAATGAGTAGAATAACAAATGTCTTTCTCCTGGGTGTAATTAAGTAATGTACTTTTTTACTTTACGTTTTTTTGAGTAATGATCCCAACACTGATCACAACTAAGATGGGAAATTTGTAATTACTTTGCATGAATGTAATGTCATTGATATGCTGCTTAGAGATGGTCACGACTCTCAAAGTGGAGCCAGTGAGAATCGATAATGGAATCGCAAAATTCTTATAAATTCCCATCCCTACTGGTAACTTACAAACTTACAGTTTGTGTGGTATTTGTTTGTTTGTTTTTTTTGCAGGTGACCTTCGCACCTTTGAAGTCCTGTCTTCTGACACACAGAAAAATGTTCTTTCTGCACTGCGGAGACTGGAGGCGGTGACGAAGTTGAGGGTGTGAGTAATGAAATTTAAACCTACATCCCTGTTTGGTTTAAGTTCATTTTCTTTGCTGGTTGAGGAGCTGTCCATAATGCTGATGCCAAAGTTACAGATGCACTCCTGTCATCTCAGGTCCCAGCAGAAGGAATACAAAGTGAACAAAGCAGCTGTCAGCAGAACTGGTGACATACTCTGTAAGTTTATTTGTGATATTCCAGTAACGATAAAGTTTTTTTTGTGCGTCTTGAGAATTATTATTTATTTTACCTTGCTGACTTTAAATATACTGATTATATAATGTCTTTACTGTGGTTGAATTTGCTATTCTGTTTAGTACGACTAAGGGATCCATTTTTCCTGTTTTCTCACTGTAGCTGGGAAAGTCCCTCTTGAGAGCCTCCACACTACACCTGACGCAAGGCTTCAGTGTCAAGTGGAATAAATTCATCCTCAGTATCAGCTCACAGCCCCCTCCCCAAATGAACTTACCCGTCTATTCGCTACTTCTACCTCATTGTCATCCCTGTGGTCTCTTTATCTTTACACAGTCAAATCGGTACAAATACAGTCTGTGCTCACAGGCAAAATACTTGATCCTTGATGCCGGCCAGACTTAATCTACTGAATGGTGGCTACCACTCTGTCCTTTATAGACCTGAGAGGACTGAGATGAAGCTAAACGCCCTGCAGGATAAATACTGGTAATATAAAGGTGGCCTATTACTGATTTTGTTTCACTTTAACCGAAATCAGTAGGTGAATACTAACATTTAGGTTAAGATAACTGTACTTTCCATTGCTGATCTTGTGTTTTTTGTTTTTTTTTAATATATTGCCATAGATGTATTGTTTACTTCCATAGATGTATGATTAACTGAGAAAATTAATAAGAGAGCACTTTAATTAAACTTTGTTTCCAATAAGATTTGGCATAAAACACTTGGTTGTATGTAAAAGAATGTTGCAATAAGGCTCTAAACACCATAAAAAGCAAAGATCTCAGGTTTTGTTTGAGACATTTTCTTAACATTTCCATAAAGGTGAAACAAATGTAACAAAATGCACCATAGTTGTTTTTCCCCACCAATTCCCCTCAACAGTGAATGAAAACCAGAAGTCTGAGTTGAATCTCCTGCCCTCCCTGCAAACCAATCAACACTGTGCTGTACTTCTAACCCCTCAGCAGTTAGAAGAAGGACCCTTATGTGCCAATCAGCCACAGGAAAAAGATTATCTGTACATGGGTGGCACGTCGACCTTGATGCGTAAAGCGCTCATGGGGTCTTGACAAAACATAGAGATGTATTCCAGCACTTTGGAACTGAGCGCTGCTCCCCTCATGTTGGGCACTGTCTGCACACCATACACATGCCCTCGAGGAAGTGTAGCGTGCCTTTCCTGGCCAGGGTGGTTGGTCTGATGGATGTAGCCGGGGGGAGAGCGGCCCTGCTGAGCATGGTTGACCCAGTTATGCGCACTGTCAGCAAAGTGCGTGGCGGCTCGGCGCATCGGGAGCGGGCCCAGGTACAAGTGATAAGCGTCTTGGGTCAGAGCATGGAGCAGCTGCATCTCAAGCACGATGTTGCCTGGAGATAAAAGGAAAACAATCTTTCTTAAATAATCTAATAAGACAGTTCAAAAGAGTCTGTCCAACTGCAGTTGAGTGATTTAGGACAGTCACAGCTGGTAAACAAAAATAGGGGCCATAAAGGTCTGGGGCTAGCAGCTGTTCATTTACCTAGATCTTAAAATCTGTTTGTGGGAAACACTTTTTCTTTGTTTTAAAACTGCAAAACATGAATTCTGGACAACCTGACAGTTTTCCTAACCGGGTGTACTCTGCCTCTTGCCCTATGGTAGTTGAACAGGCTCCAGTTTCACCCCCAGAAACTCTGAATTGGATAAGTGGAAGAGAAAGGATGGATGGAACTATAGATAGACAAAATAAAATAAAGAGTCAAATAAATAAGAACATTAAGTGCCATAAAAAAATACAGTAAAACAATAAAATAAACAGGTAGTTTTACAATAAGTAAATAATAATAATTAATTAACTTTTCAACAGAAGCCCATTTAAACGACAATGTTTTTAACTGCTTTGTCAAAGAGTCCTTAGAGTCAACTAAATGTAGTGGCAGTGGTTGCCTGAACCACAGCCTTGGCATCACTGACTGAAAGGCTCTGCTCAACTGGTAAATAGAGTAGAACTCAATGATTTTTTAGCAAATTTGGCATCAAAGTGATTTTAGTTAAAACATTTACATCAGTAACAAGAAATCTTACTGTAAACTTTGTGAATCGATTGACATCCACCATGAAGCATTTCCACTGTCAATGGAAACAAAGTTTAAGAGCATGGAGTAGTTATACAGAGTACGCTATCTTGAACAGGTGGGTTTTGAGGGTGGACTTAAAAAGGGGGAAAGAACTGATGTTTCTGAGGTCAGGGGGTAAGGATTTCCAAAGTCGAGGGGCAGAGCAACTTAAAGCCCTGCACCCCATGGTAATAAGACGAAATGAAGGAACAGAAAGAAGAAGAGAAGAGGAGGATCTGAGGCACTGGGATGGGATGGAGATCTTTACCAAGTCAGAGAGATATGGTGGGGAGAGAGAATGAATAGCCTTAAATGTGTAAAGGAGTATTTTAAACCGAGGAGTTGAACCGAGAGCCAGTGAAGCTGCTTCAGGATAGGGATGATGTGGTGAGAGGGAGTCCTAGTAATAATACGGGCAGCAGAGTTCTGGACACGTTGAAGCTTGTTGATGAATTTTTGTGGCAGGCCAGATAAGTGAGTTACAGTAATCAATCCGAGAGGTAATGAAACTATGGACGAGAATAGCAGTGGCATGTGGAGTGAGGCGATTGATGATACGGAGTTGGAAATATGCTGAGCGAGTGATATTATTGATGTGAGAGTTAAAGGATAATGTACTGTCAAGAATGACGCCCAAACTTTTCACAGAGGAAGAGCGGGAGAGTTACTGTTATTGTAATTTATTAGAAATCTGTTTGTGTGTATCTTTTTATGCATTTATAGTGAAACATTTCAAGGGATCCCTTGAAATGTTGTCCCTGTTTTGCTAGTCACTATACAGTAGTTACAACTTAGAAAATATCAACTCATATGTATTATAGCTTATATATAGGTTTATAGGTAGTCCACCTACCTAAAGTCTGAGGCTTAGGGTGTACCTTAAGTCAGAGCATGAAGAAATGTTCCTAGTTAACACAGAACAGTAAGAAAATCTCAAATATATATTATTACTGCCTTTGTTGTAAACTCTAAATGGATTTGCCTGGATTTTTAGTTTGTTGTGAGAAATGGACTATTACGCCTAATCATTTCCATGCGAATGGAAAAAAACAAAACAAAAACAAAACAAATGGTTGGGAGATTTTTCACAAATCAATATCCAAAAGCGTCTACACAGCAACTGTACTCAGATTCCTGTGACATATACACACTGAGTCATCGTGATTAAGCACTTTTAATGCCAGATTCATTTAAAAGTATAGGGTTTATCCTTTAGCCAAATAGAAACAACCATATTCATCATTTTAAAATTCACTGAGGAATAGATCTGATAAAGGTATGTACAGCATATTAAGATACTTTGGAGATGGCTTACATGTCCTGAATAAGATAAAGAGATGGAGTCTGATGGAGGAAATATCTCTACAGAATAATCATTTTCATTTTTGATACTTTATGTACAATTTTCTAATAATACAGTTTTGTGTGTACTGAGGTATTTTCATAGTGTTTTATTGCTTCTTTTCCTGAAGGGATGGTTTGAAATATTCCTCCATCACTTGTCATTTTCAGCTAATCATAAATATATTAGGTTTAGGTGTGTTGTGTTAGGTTTAACACAGATTTAACCACTGTATGCTATTAACTGTTTAATCTAAAATGCAAATTATTACCAGTGAACTGGTAATAATTTTGGCTCAGGTCTGATTACTGGCAGACATGTTGAATCAATAAATCACTTAAATAGAACTAGTCTGACAAAGTGAAGCAGGCTAAAATTACTCACAAATAGAATAGATTTCAACTTTATTGTCATTGCACATGCACAGGTACAGGGCAACGAAATGCAGTTTGCATCCATCCAGAAGTGCTTTAGCCATGATATAGATATATTACAATATATATTAGCAATAATATAGATATGTAAGTATATTACAGAAATGGGTCTATTATGGTATGTTATAATGTAC